AGTTCTTCTTCTTAATTCTATACTTTTTATTCTTTATTTTTAATTGAAAAATCTGGTTTTTGTCATCATCAAAAAGGGGAAGATTGTTAGAACATAGCTTGATTCTACAACCCTTGGTTAGAGTTTTGATAATAACAAATACAAAGAATAAATAAATACAAAGAATATATATACAAAGAACAAATATGCTCCTTAAAAATATGTTTTGTATATGCAGAAGTTCTGATCAGATTAGCATCAGAAGATCAGCCATATATGCTACACGCTGAAGCTATCAGATTATACGCTGAAGATTGATGACCAGAATTTGCGCTTAATCAAGTAAACTCTGACTCTGAACAAGAACATATCAAACCAAGTCATCAACATTCTGAAGCGTCATCAGCAGTAAGGAAAGAAGACTCTGAAGCGTTACTGAACATTCAAGACAGAATTAATGCCAACGGCTTTCTTCAGACAAGATCTTCTCCAAAAGGAAAGTGTGTTAATAACATTAAACTTGCTTTATGGACAACGTCATTATATTGTCTATATAAACAAGTCTGCTTGCAAAAAGAAGCACGTACGTACGCACACAACAATTTGCTAAGAATTCCAAACCACACATATTCAAGCTCAAGCAAATTCAGTCCTTATTCTAAGCTTAATCTGTGTAATTTATCACAGTTGTGATAAACTGTTTTGTTAGAAAACATCAACATATTTTGTTCAATTATATTGTAAAAGAATTCCTTGAGATTAACCGGATTGTGGTTGTACTCAAGAAGACTTTAACAATTGTTAAAGTAGCTGTTGTAATCTTTTGAGATTAGTGGATTAAGACCTCGTTGGAGAGAGGCGAAATCACCTTGACGGGTGGACAGGAGTAGTTTGAGATCAAACAAACCAGGATAAAAATATTGTGTCATTAAGCTATTTTAGATCCAAGTTTTTCAATTCAACCCCCCCCCCCCCCCCCCCCCCCCCTTCTTGTGTTTTTCACATCTTCAATTTAAACAATGACATGTTCAATAAATAGTTAACTCTGGAGGTTTAACACAAGACTCAGGATTTGATGCAGGCTACTGAATTGGAAGAAAGAGTTATGGAGAAAAAAGCAAAAGTTCATTGGTTGAAGGTTAGGGATGGTAATAATGCCTTCTTCCATGCCATGGTAAAAGAGAAAAATAAACAAAATGGGGCTCATAGACTTGAGGACAGAAACGGTAACATTCTCACTGAGATTAAAGACATTGAAGGAGAAATTATTAATTTCTATGGTGAGTTAGTGGGAAGCAGAGTTGAGGAGATGAATCATGTTGATATTAAAGCTATGTGTGAGGGTGCCCAATTAAATGAGAAACAAAGCAATATCTTGGTTCAGCTCAGGATGTGTGGAAGGCTCTCAATCACATTGATGATAACAAAGCTCCGGGTATGGAAGGATTCAGTGCTAAATTCTTCAAGGTTGTGCGGAGTATTGTCAAGGATAACCCCATGGCTGCTATTAGATAGTTCTTTGAAGATAAGTATATGTTTGTTGCGATTAATTGTGCTATTTTGGCATTAATCCCCAAAATTAATGAGGCCAGAAAGGTTAAAGACATGAGGCCAATGGCGTGTTGCTTAACGGTGTACAAAATCATCTCAAAATTTTTGACTCTTAGGCTCAGTAAAGTCATCAATATGGTTGTGGAAGATAATCAGTCTGCTTTCTTGCCTGGTAAGGTGATTCATGATAACATTATCATTACACACGAACCGATCAAAGGCTACAACACGAAGCATGTATCCTCTATATGTACCATCCAGATGGACATCCATAAGGCGTACAACTCAGTTGAGTGGAAGACGTTAGAAACTATTATGCAAGAAATGAGCTTTGCTAGAAGATTCATTGATTGGACTATGTCAATTGTCTCATACAGGTACGTTATTAATGGGCATGTTACGGAAGTGGTGAAAGCTAGAAGAGGATTAAGACATTGATTGGACTATGTCAATTGTCTCATACAGGTACGTTATTAATGGGCATGTTACGGAAGTGTTGAAAGCTAGAAGAGGATTAAGACAGGGAGACCCTATCGCCTCGCTCCTGTTTGTCTTAATCATGGAATATATGAACCGTTGTTTGAAGAAACTTAAAGATAAACAAAACTACAACTTTCACCCGAAGTGTGCTAGGCTTCATATTACTCACATAGCGTTTGTTGATGATCTCATGTTGTTTAGTAGAGGGGATATTATTTCTGTGAGAATCTGATAGAGACTTAGGTGAAGAAGTTGGGCTTGACTTTGGGCCCTAAGCCAAAAGTGTGGAGGGTTTATACTAGAAGACGTGGCAAAGGAATAAAGGAATAGATTGTAGGAGTTTGTTACGATAAAATAGGGAGAGAGAGAGAGAGAGAGAGAGAGAGAGAGAGAGAGAGAGAGAGAGGAGAGAGAGAGAGAGAGAGAGAGAGAGAGAGAGAGAGAGAGAGAGAGAGAGAGAGAGAGAGAGAGAGAGAGAGAGAGAGAGAGAGAGAGAGAGAGAGAGAGAGAGAGAGAGAGAGAGAGAGAGAGAGAGAGAGAGAGAGAGAGAGAGAGAGAATAATTATAGGAGTTGTTATTATAATTAATCCTATAATTAATGAGTTTGTTACTATAAAATAGGGAAGGAAGAGAGAGAATAATTAGCTAAGTTTATGACTATAAAATAGGGAGGAAATAAGGTATCTAGGTATTCTATTTTTTGATTTGAGAATCACCGTCTTGGTGAGGGAAGCACTGCGTGCTTAGGGGCTGATAGATATTCTCTACCAGTTTGTTATTTTCATCACCGTTACTTCTTTGTAATTGTTTTTCCGTAATAATACAATTACAACATTCTTTTACTATTCTATTCATATATTCATTGTTCACTCATATATTCATATAAGAACCCATCAATTGGTCCGACCTACCATATTCGAAACGCACCCCGTGACGAAGATTGTTCATGACAAGGATGGGTGACAGAATTGAAGCTTTGGAAACACAGAAGAAGAGTGTGACAACAACGTTGCAAGGGCTGGCTCTACAAATGCAACAGCACGCTCAGTAGATGCAATAACAAAGCTTGATTTTAACTGAATTGAGCAAGCAGATAGGTCAGAAGGGAGTGACTCAGGAGGATGACACCTCTATTGGTCATTCATCACAGAGCATGTCTCGCCTTGCCGGGAAGAAGGTGAAGCTTCTGGTGTTTAAAGGTGAGGACCCTGTTGCATGGATTACGCGCGCGGAGATTTACTTTGATGTGCAAAACACTCCGAATTAGATGCGTGTAAAGCTGTCCCGTTTGAGCATGGAGGGTTCAACAATACATTGGTTTAACTTGTTACTGGAAACAGAGGATGACCTCTCTTGGGAAAAACTGAAGAAGGCCTTAATTGCGTGCTATGGCGGACGACGCTTAGAAAACCCCTTTGAAGTGGAATGTGATGCAGCCAGAAGGGGTATCGGGGCAGTTTTGATGCAAAATAGGCAGCCTGTAGCTTTTTCAGCAAGGCTTTGTCTGATGGAAATTTATCAAAATCTGTGTATGAAAAAGAGCTTATGGCATTAGTATTATCTATACAGCACTGGAGACAGTATCTCTTGGGAAAGCAATTCACTGTGTTTACTGACCATAAAAGCTTGAAACACTTCCTTCAACAAAGAATTTCCTCACCAGATCAACAATGTTGGTTAGCTAAGTTGCTTGGGTACCAAATTAAAGTCAAATATAAGCCAGGAGGTGAGAATAAAGCTGCTGATGCTTTATCCAGATGTTATGGGGATGTGGAAATGAATTCTATAGTCTCTTACCCAAAATGGTTGGAGGGTCAGAAATTGTTACAAGAAGTGCAACAGGATCTAGGAATTCATAAGATCATTGTTGAATTGATGACCTCACCAGATGCTAGGCCAGGTTATACTGTACAACAGGGTACCTTATATTATCATGACAGGTTGGTCTTGTCCCCAAACTCTCCTTCAATCCCATTATTGTTACAAGAATTTTACAGCACACCTACAGGAGGTCATTCTGGGTACCTCAGAACCTATAGAAGGTTGGCTGAGAATTTATATTGGGTGGGAATGCAAAGACAGGTTAGAGATTTTGTGAGAGCTTGTGACATATGCCAGAGACAAAAGTATGCAGCTACTACCCCAGGTGGTCTCCTACAGCCTCTTCCTATTCCCAATGCCATTTGGGAGGATTTGTCCTTAGACTTTATCACTGGCCTTCCAAAATCTAAGGGTTATACAGTTGTACTTGTGGTAGTGGACAGACTATCTAAGTACAGTCACTTTATCCTTCTAAAATACCCCTACACTGCCAAGTCCATAGCAGAGTTATTTGTGAAGGAGATTGTCAGACTCCATGGTATTCCTACTTCTATTATCATTGATAGAGACCCCTTGTTTGTGAGTCATTTTTGGATGGAATTGTTCAAGTTACAAGGTACCAAATTAAAGATGAGCTTTGCCTACCATCCAGAAACTGATGGGCAAACCGAGGTGTTAAATAGATGCTTGGAGAGTTATCTAAGGTATTTTGCATCGAAACAGCCAAAGTTCTGGTCTCACTGGCTTCCCTGGGAAGAATATTGGTATAACACTACTTTTCATGTTTCTATTAGGAAGACACCTTTTGAAGTGGTGTATGGAAGACTACCTCCCAGCTTGTTAAGATTTTTAAGCAACGAGACAAAGGTAGTTGTTGTGGCTTTGGAGTTAAGTGAAAGGGATGAGGCTTTGAATCAGCTTAAGAGTCATTTGTTGCGTGCTCAACAATAAATGAAGAAGTATGCACATACAAGAGAAGAGATGTACAACTTGATGTCGGTGAATGGGTGTTTTTGAAGCTTAGGAGATGTCAGTTTATTATTTTCATCACCGTTATTTCTTTATAATTGTTCGTCCTCGTAATAATACAATTACAACATTCTTTTACTATTCTATTCATATATTCATTGTTCACTCATATATTCATATAAGAACTCATCAGAATCACAATGGAAGAATCACAATGGTTCTATGCTGCTACAAGTTTAAAGGTTCGCCCTGCTAAGTGCAACATGTACTATGGTGGCATGAAAAGAGAGGATCAACTTGCTATTTGTGCTGAAACCGGATTTACTCAAGGGAGTCTTCCCTTCAAATACTTCAAGGTCCCTTTGGCTAGCAGAAAAATCACAGTTCACCGTTGTAGACCTCTAATTGAGAAGATTTTGAAGAGGATTAAGCATTGGACATCCAGGCTTTTGAGTTATGCAGGTAGAATGCAACTAATTAGAAGCATCATATTTTTTTGGCAAATTTCTGGATGCAATTGTTTCTGTTGCCACAGAAAGTGGTTCACGAAATTGAAGCAATATGCAGGAGCTTTCAGTGGAGTGGTTCAGACACAATAACAAGGAAGGCACTTTGATAGAAGGCTTGAAAATATGCAGAAAGAAGCGGAATGGATGAGGAAGGCTACTAATAGAAAAGGTTAGTAGAATCAAGTGATTAAGATTGTTTTTGCTGAAACAGATATAGATATTTGGTGGTTGAGAGGAGTAAATATAATATTATGGGTTGAACAAAATGAAAATAATCAATTACTAGAACATATAAACTTACAATAAATATTGAAATAGTAAATCGATTTTCTGTCCAGCCAGACTTACAAATGAAAATTTAAAAATAGAATGAAAAAAGAAACTTGAGAAGCCTCAGTACCACAGCCAAGATATTTACATCAAAGAATAAACTATTCAGATGGTAATTCCAGTTCTGTTTTTATCATCAACGGCTTCACTAAAGTAAGATAAAAAAAAATTATAAATATATAGAGAAATGTAATCACACAAATCGGCTCTGCAAAATCATGGAATATAAGATGTGCAGATTCCTATCAAAATGCGAAATAAATTGATTTTGGTCCAATCATAGCATCGAAGGTCAGTGCTATCATATAGCTACCACCGACGTGGCATCGGACCTAATTCAAACACTTCATAATAAAACTAATCTAACTTACCGAGGACATATAAGTTTCAGAAAAAAGGATGAGATTTACAAAGCTGCGGCAAAGAGTGGTGAGAGGCTGAAGAATAGAGATTTCAGATATGAGTTTTATAGGCGTGTCTAGGGCTAGGGGTTTTTGGTTTGGGCCAACAATGTGAACTTGGACAAACTGGTTTGGCCCAATAATGGTAAAAGGATAAATTTTTAAGAATTTTACTTTGGCACCTTAAATGTTAAACCTGCCCCGTTCTTTTTTATATTGACAAAAATATTCTTCACATTATTCCTCATCTAAAATTGAAAAAAAAAAAATTAACTCTCAAAGAATTGGTAAAATATAGATAATATGGTGGTCTATTTTAAAATTTTGGTCTACTTTTTGCTAATCAGGAGAAGAATCTGCCATTTTAAAATTTTGGTCTACTTTTTACTAACCAGGAGAAGAATCTGCATTTTTATCGAATCATTAATAAATCGGTATGATTTTTAACAAAAAAATTTTAAACATCACCTACAAATGTAAATTCCACAAATACTTTAAAATATCAAATCTTTATGCGCACCTAAAATGGATGGTTCTTCTACTAATTTTACCTAGTTCTTCACCACTCACTTTGGATGTTTTATTTGAACTCTTGAAATTTCTAATCGAGTTATGGTATCAATAGCACGAATCATTCATTATATATTTTAATTGATAAATGTTTCCCTCCCAAACTGAAGTGATATCATGGGCACAATTTATTCAAAGACAACATGGTATTATTGTCGTTATCGTTCCTTCTAATACATTAAATGGGAAATGAGGAAGGAAATATAACTTTACTGTAACTTGTGATATATAAGGAAACTACAAGAACCAAAATTCTTCTAAAGTCACTTGTAATAGAATAGTGAAATGTCCATTTATGTTGAGATATGTGTCAAGCAGTATTGGTTGGGATGTAACAGTTAGACGGAGTATTCATAATCATGAACTAGCTAAGGATTTAGTGGATCATGACGTATTACGTTGATGAAAACCTAATGAAAGATAAATTGTGAATGACATGAAAAATACTACATGGCACCTAGGTTCATAGTGGTTGTTTTGAAAGTTAGAGATCTTGATAACGAGACGAGTATAACGCATGTGTATAAGTCAAGATCTGCATATCGGTCTACCATCAGAGGCTCATTCACATAAATGCAATATTTATTGAAACTAATTCACGATGAGAAATACATGTGTTGGACCAAAAATTTGGAGGAATCAAATGATATTGCTAATATATTTTGGACACATCCTGATTCTATGAAGTTGTTGAATATGTTTCATTTAGTGTTGATCTTTTATTATATATACAAAATAAGTAAGTATCTCCTTCCACTACTTGAGGTCGTTGGGGTTACATCAATGAAGTTGACTTTTTCAGTTGGATTTGACTGCTAGAAACATGAAAGGGAGACAAACTTCACATGGGCACAAGTGAAGCTTAAGGAGTTGTTTACATCTAAGAAGTTGCTTTCCAAGGCCAAGGTGATGGATCGAGAAATTTATCTGTTGAATGTCATGGAAGTTGTGTTCCCATCCTTATTTCATATGTTATGTGTATTTCATATTTCAAAAAATGTTTGTTTGAAGTGCAAGGAGCACGTTGAATTTAGTAGGCAAGAATATGTTATGAATCTATAGAACAAATACATGTATTCAAATAGTGAGTATGAGTTTGAGTAACACTTGCAACATTTTGTGGTAATATGTGTCGATATCTCTCCATTTGTTAAGTATGTGCACCAAACATGGTTAACATCCTGTAAAGAAAAAGTTTGTTGTTACATGGTGTGATACAGTGGGGAAACTGACTTGGATGTTTTGCATTTTATCTCAAATGTTGCGGTTAACAAGAGTCGCATCGACTTTTCTTTTATCCAAAAAGGAAAGGCTGAAAAGAACAGGAAAGACCTTTGAGATTATTTCTTGAGTTCGGGGGGTAGATTATGAAAAGGAAGGTATTAGCACCCTTTTCATCCATCGTGCAATTGAAGCATAGTGTGGCAGTGAATGGAGTGTGCTAACCTTCAGGAGAGATTATCACAACACCAATTCTGTTACCTAAGGCGTTGGAAGCCCCATCAAAGACCATAGTCCATCGAGATCCTTGTTCAGGTCCATCATACGGTCCAGGTTTCGCACAATCGATTACCAGCATGATATTCTCATCAGGGAAGTCGAAGTTCATTGACTGATAATCATCCACAGCTTGATGGTCCAAATGATCGTCTAGTACGCTTCCTTTGATGGCCTTTCGTGTAGTGTATTAAATGTTGTACTCAGTCAAGATCATTTGCCACCTGGCTATCCGTCTGGAAAGGGAAGGTTTCTCAAAAATGTACTTGATTGGGTCCATTTTAGAAATCAACAAAGTGGTATGAGTCAACATATACTGTCTTAGCCGGCGAGCAGCCCATGCCAGAGTGCAGCAAGTTTTCTCGAGCAGTGAATATCTGGTTTCACAGTCGGTAAACTTTTTGTTCAGGTAATAAATATCATGCTCTTTTCGGCCAGACTCGTCATGTTGGCCCAAAACACACCCCATAGAGTTCTCTAGTACTGTCAAGTACATGATCAAAGGTCTTCCTTCAACAGGAGGATTGATAATATGAGGTTCTTGTATATATTATTTGATCTTTTCGAAGGCAGCCTGGCACTCATCATTCCATATGACTACCTGATCTTTCTTCAAGAGTTTGAAGATTGGCTCACAAGTAGCAGTCAAGTGTGATATGAAGCGAGCAATGTAATTGAGACGACCCAAGAATCCTCTGACTTCTTTTTCAGAATGAGGGACTGGTATTTCTTGGATGGGATTTACCTTTGCAGGATCAACTTCAATGCCTTTATTCCTGACAACAAAACCTAGAAGCTTTCCAGATCATACTCCAAACGTGCACTTGTTAGGGTTTAACCTCAGCCTGTACTTTTTTAGTCTTTCGAATAGTTTGTACAGGTGATCGAGATGTTCTTCTTCAGTTTGTGATCTGGAAATCATATCGTCCACATAGACCTCTATTTCATGATGTATCATGTCATGAAACAAAGCTACCATAGCTCTCTGATATGTTGTCCCTTCATTCTTCAATCTGAACGACATGACCTTGTAGCAGAAGGTGCCCCATTGCGTAACAAAAGTAGTCATCTCCATGTCTTCGGGAGCCATCCTTATTTGATTATAGCCGGAGAAACCATCCATAAAAGAGAAGACTTTATGCTGAGCAGTGTTATCAACTAAGACATTAATGTGTGGTAGAGGAAAGTCATCCTTGGGGCTTTCCCTATTCAGATCCATATAGTCTACGCACATGCGAACTTTTCCGTCCTTTTTTGGCACTGGCACTACATTAGAAACCCATTGGGGATATGATGTCACAGCTGGGAACCCTACATCAAATTGTTTCATCACTTCAGCTTTGATCTTCTCAGACATATCATGCCTCATGCGACGAACCTTTTGTTTAACAGGAGGGCAATCTTCTTTTGTCGGCAGACGGTGAACTACGATGTCGGTATCCAACCCAGGCATATATTCATAAGACCAAGTAAATAATCCCACATAATCATGCAACATCTGAACCAACCTGCTCTTGACACTGCTTTCCAAATTGGCGCCGATCTTGATTTCCTTCTTATCTGACTCTGTACCCAGATTAATGACCTCAACTGACTCTTCGTGCGGCTGAATAGCTTTTTCCTCTTGTAATAGAAGTCTGGATAATTCTCCTAGTATGTCACAATCTTCCTCGCCTTCGTCTTCGGCTTGATTAATTGGGCATTCAAAGTCACAGTCGGTAATAGTAGAGTCATTGGCAATAAGATCCAAAGTGGATGAGGACCTGCAAGAGTGTGTGTGTGTGTGTGCATGTAAGATACATGGCTATTTGAAAGAAAGGAAAGACAATAAACACAAATGTTTGAATGAAAAAGAGTCCAATATACTGAATGATTATATGATTAGATGAACATAAATAAAACCCTTGACAAATGGACCAAAGTGCCCCGGGCCAGGCACATGGCTTAAAAGTCATTGTTAAAATATTACAGACAACAATTTCTTGAATTGATAAAAAGTAATAAACAAGTAGATTACTCCTCAATGAAGGAGATGGGCACAAAGTCATTTGCATGCCAATTCCTCAGCTTTGTTGTAGTTGGATACTGTTGTACCCTAAATTTTGCCCCTAACTTTTTCAGTCGCACTTTCATATCATATTTTGTCATTTGGTCACAATCATTAATAAATAGCTTCATTCATCACATTTGCATCTTATCTTTAAGTTTGCTCTTGTGTTGTTGACTAACTTCTAATCAAAATACAAAAAATATTTGTCTTTGTCTTTGCATATTTGTGTTTTGTAGGTACCG